TATTAACTGTGACAAGATGATTGACAGGCTAGTTTACAGTGACAGGATGCATGTAATTATGCGACAGAGCAGTCGGTTAAAGACACTGTATGACGTTATAGTATGTCCCAAATCTTGCCTACTCTTCTACTACACACTCAAAAGTGTGTACTTTTTCTTCACCAAAAAAGTGCATACTTTAAGGGCGTAGTATAAGTAGGCACGCAGCATATGTGTGTCATTATCACCTCACACTGGCCAACAGTGCCACCTACTAGTCAAAAGGGACAATAATATAAGTAGGCACATTGGGACGCAGCATATGATTCAGGGTAGCGCAGTTTAATTTCTGACTGGAATGAAAACCATGCAAAACAGCAGAGCCGAAGCACAACTCGCGTAATTACCAAAACAATGTTCCTCCGCAAGTAACTTGTAGTTTAATGCTTCAACCGCTAGAGGGCCATAAAGTTACAACGTGTTGCATAAATGCATGATGGCTCAAAAAAAATGACGAGAACACATTTCAAATGAATGCTTGCATGATTGTATGAACTGTTTTCTAAACTATTTCTATGTGCATGTGCAGGAGCTGGCTAATGCCCTCATCCCTGCTGCTGTGTCCCAGTACATGTTTCAGGGCCAGGAGGGGGAGACGTGCCCACCACTGGCTATGTGGAACAGTGAAGCCCTGATATGACAGCCAGCACAGATCCCTCCTGAGAGTGAGCAGGTACTGATCAAGTCACTAACATGATGTCCAAATCTCTTGTCTAAATAGTTGTATACTATTAAAATGTACCTCACACTTATAGTTGTCTTGCTTCATTGTTTCTCTCAGAGTGATCCATTTGAAAGCATGCCACTTGGATTGTACATTGTCTCAACATCGGAAGAGAAGGCTCAAATTTATCTGACTAGTAGATGTGGTGGTGATATACAGTATAAAGTAAACATGCTGACCAGTCCTTTGTGAAGATTCACTTAGTTGGCCATTGACGGAAGGTGCATATTTACAAAAACATTTGGAGCAATTCAACTCTTTGGGGATGGAATATTTATGATAATCCTTTCTCAAAACCTAGAAGGAGTTCAGGCTACATCAAGATCATTTTGAAGATATTTTTCTCATGATATAACCCATCCTAAGGAAACTTCTATTGCCAAGGAAAAGGCAATATTATGCATCCCCCCCCAACAACTACAATGCAGGCGAACTATATGAAATATGACAAATCATTGTGGCCCAAGTTTGAATGCACTTTAGTCTGTGTGTTGGAGTTTCTGCTTTGTGGAGCTGTGATTTAATTTTCTCTCAAATGTAACTGTAAAAAAATAAAATAAAATATATATAACAACGTCTGAGCAATGCCAAAAACAATGCGTGTTGAAGTTAAATTGCCCCTGTTGGCAATTTTCTCTGAAGAATATCAGTGGGAAAGCATATAATCAATAGACAGTCATGCAGAGGCATGTAGGCTGCAGGCCAGTATCATTAAAACTTCTCTCTACTGATTCAGCTGTACAAAATACACTGATGTTTTCTGAGCTTCTGCTTTTTTGCCTGAGATTTTTTTGAGTTATGTAAAAAAAAAAGAAGGAAAAAAAAAAGAACTGGTGCGAAAGACACTGCATCATCTTTGAAACACAATTTTGTCCAAAACTTCAGTACAAACACACAATAAGCTGTCATTTTGTTATATATAAATCTGCAGCTCAGGGTTCACATTATTCTACTGAATTTGCAATAGCATACTACTTAATTGATATTATAACAAAGTGCACACTTGTATTTCAATATATATTTGAAGACATATAAAAAGTGCTGGTTTAATCATATTTTGTATGTATTAATGTGAGAGGTCTAGGGGTTAAAAATTAGACCTTGCAGAAAGAAAACTGAAACGATGCACTGCTTTTTGCACAATTTAGTGTCTTTTCTTAATAATAGTCTAGTATCTGAAATATATTAATAAGACATCAAGTATCTTTGTTTCAATATATTCTTTAGTTGATCGACTAGCCTGCTTTACAGCTGTCTTTGATACACTTATGATATATTGTGTGATATTTGCCCTTATTTGATACAAATGTATTGACCACACTGGTTAGATGCAAACGAAGACAGAAACAGCAATTCTTAATGCCTTTGGAGATAAGCACTATAATTACGTAATATGTATGTTTTAATTATTATTTATATTCTAAATTGACATTTTCAGTTGACTGTTTTTATGCCCATCAACCAAATTAGATCTAACAATGATAGTGCCTTAGGCTTTAGGTAAGAATGTGTTTATTTTTCCTGCCAAACCTCATATAATGAAGGCAAATCACAACAAAAACACAACATACAATAACATTTCAGAGACCATAATGCACTTTGTTATCACAGGGCAGCCATGTAGCAATGCAGAATACCCCAGATCTCTTACAAATGTGTTGAATTTTAAGTGCAATACTGCTGCATTTATTTATATGATTTCCCTAAAAAAAGGAATTTTGCTGCATTGGTTTGTATGATTTCTCAAGGATGCAACATCTAATTATGATTTAGATGGGAACTATGATGGAATAAAATAAATTGCACTAAGGGTGATAACTGTATTAGAAATAGTGTTTATTCAGTGTTCGTTTATACTCTTATTTTTTCCACTATTCCCTACTAAAGAGCAATAATTAAATGGTTTATTTTGAGAAGGGTGCTTTTTCACATAGGTTGCAAGTCTTTCATTGTATACTTATTTTTCATTGTATACTTACATAATGTAATTAATTGCACTGCTAATAAATGAATGTAGATTAACAAAGCAAGACACAAAAGCAAGCAAGAAAGGAAACCAATGTTCCATATTACTTCTGGATGCAGTCTGTTCCTGACTCCCACCAGCATATAATGTTCAAATGTGTACACACACACACACACACATACAAAATTGTAAAACAATAAACTTATTTTAAAAGCATGCAGCAAATCTCATTTTACTTCTTAAAGTAAATGAATGAGGAGATTACATCAAACATATGTACTGAAATATTTGTCTGTCTGTTGTACTGTCATATTGTGGAGTAGCATTTCAAAAGAGTGATAAAGGTATTCGAAACAGATTTTATTCTGTTGGTTTTACTATCCCACAGATAAAAGGTTTAACTAAATGGTTTATTTTGAGAAGGTTATATAATTATTTTTGTTCCATTGTGATTACTTGCAATGGTAATAAATTAATGTACATTAAACTAGCAAGAAAGAAGAAAGAAAGATGGCTTAGTAAAATAATAACACGTATATGAGTATAATAAACATATTTTACTTATTAATAATTTTTTTTAGCTGTTAAACCAACCAGGTAATACAAGCAAGACTTGAACATTTAGTATAACAATGGATGACAGCAAAAATAAAAATAAAGGAAGACAGTAAAAAATAAAAATGAAAATACAATAAAATAAAATAAGAAACAAAGTACAGAGGTAGTGAATCAAATTACGTAACATTCAACAGATTGTCACATAGTTTTACAAATGTAACTTTTTTTTTGTTGCTTATTTGTTTCAGTGTCATAATGAAGTAGGCTAGTTGAGGTAACAAAGAAAATTATTTAATTTGGGTACTGTTATAGGTAAAATTTACATTTCTGAATAAAATATTTTGCCAATAAAATAAATACATTTCCTATATATTCTATATTATGATTACAATGAGAAAAATAACAAATATCACGCAATGTTAAATCAATGTCTACTTTGGATTTTGAAGCAAGGAATTGTGATAGGACAGTCCAAAATTATTTGACAAGAAGAAACACCCGAAGAAAAGATGATCAGTTTACAACATTACCAAATTTAGATGTAATCCCATTGGTGGGATATAATTAGTTTTATTTATTTTTGACTGAAACACATTGCTTATAATTTTATTCCTACATTTAGGGTCATTCTTATATTCAACCAGGAATTTCTGTTCACTCTTTACAACCTATTCAAATGATTGTAAGGAATTCCTTATGGACAACAGGTAAATTGTATTTAGACATGAAATCATAGTAAGAATGGATCTAGCATATCACAAAGATAATCAATACCTTTTTCATGCCAATTCTAAAGGAAAATCGACTTGTTCTTTGCTAGAATACTTTCAATGTTCCATAGTTTCATTTTATGTGGGGAGAATTGTGGACAAAACAAAGTTTCCATGCCAACAGCCTGTTCATGGAATTTAGAAAGTTGTATGGGGAGCTTAGATGGGGAGATCATGTTACAGGTGTTACCCTCCCACTTTTTAATAGATGTTTTGTGGGATAAAATACCAGATAGAGTCGGGTGAATTGACACAATTCTTTATTCAATTCACTTTGAATGTATTATTAACGTCAAAAAATCAAGCATGTCAAAACCTCCATCAGCTTTTTTACCACATAAAACCTGTTTCTTCAGATGTTGATGTTTGTTTTTCAAAAAAAGTAAACAATAAACGATCAATTTGTTTACTGGTAATATATATTTTTTAAAATTTTTTTTTTTTACTAATAATATTAATTGTTTAAATAGCCTCAGTGCTGACGTATGACAGGAAGAGAAGGGGATGATTTATTAATACAATTTTTGAATAGAACTCATTTAATGAATAGAATATAGATAGGCTATTGTTATTTCCATTACCACAGTAGATGGCGGTAATACTCTTTTAAGAATGCGAACCGCCAATAAGCTCAAAGAGACGTGGCTTAAACCGCAGTTGGACTTTGTCATTCCAGGGTATGTATCCGTTAGGAAAGATAGTATGACAGGAAGCAGACGAGTCGTAAAGCGAAACGCACGGTCGAAACACAGAACGTAGCCGGATGTCCCGGATGTGCTTTCACAGCAGAGTGCCGTATTCCAGTTTTCATCGAGCGCCAAGGCTGTACCATTCAATCCCTCTAATATCGTAATCAACAGTAAAAAAAAAAAAAAAAAAAGGGAGTTAAGGCAAAAGTCTTTTTTTGTCGTTGCTTTGATCACTTAATTTACGTATACAAAAGAAAAAAAAAAAAAAAGTGTGATTAGTGCAAAGATTAAGACGCCATTATATTATCCGTCAGACGATGTCAGTTGTACCTCCTAATCGATCATCTACCGGTTGGCCTCGTGGAGTAAATCAGTTCGGCAATAAATACATTAGCCAGCCGGCTAAACCGCTCACCCTGGAGAGACCAATCAATCTGTGAGTAACATTCACCACTGCAAACTGCGTGTGCAAATACATTTATTTCATAACCAATGCTCAGCGATCCCAGTGATGTACGATGGCCTCTGCTGAAGCAGCATCACCCTTTGAACCTGGCAAACAATCGTAGCTCCTAACAGCACCCCAGTTTAATGTCTTTAAAAAGGAGCTTGCCATATATACATAGGTCCTGAAAATTATGAGAAGTGATAAAGCCAAGAAATTATTTGATTTGTTTAATAAGTGTGATTTTGTTTAATCCCCTACTACGTACAGTTGTGTTTATGTTAGCCTATTTTGTTCTGTTATGATGCTTGAAATGCAAAAAAAAAAATTTATATATATATATATCTAAATAAAAAAACAATCGTAGCTCCTTCCTGGTTACTGCTGTTTGTTTGCGTGTGCACGATTACCGGTATATTAACATGTAACGGTATATTAACATGTAACGTTGCATTGATTTATAAAAGTATACACACCATTTTTTTTTATTTAAATGAACACTTGATACAATGTTCCTTGCAAAAACAAACAAAGAAACAAAACAAAAAAATGTTTAACTCACACTTGATAAAGCCAATTAAACATAGTTAACTCGAGATTTTCTTTACAAGTAGGGCTGCACGATTATGATCATTATTGTCGATTATTCCCTTGAAATTGTAATTGCGATTATTAATTGCGATTATCACAATTTACATTGAATGATGTTTATACCATTTTTTGAAACAACTGCATGCCATATTTTTATATAAACAAGCTGAAAATACTCTTAACTTAAAATTTTTTTTAAAAAAGTAAAAAAAATATGCATGGTATTATAAAAAATAAAAATAAAACAATGGAAAAACCCTTAAGATAACCTGTAGAAAGAACGAAAAAACACATCTTAAGCACTCAGAATAAAATAAGTGGACTTTGAACGATTAATTGCCGCTTTGAACGATTACGTAATTGTGGCATCCGTAATTGTAATCGCGATTAGGAATTCGATTAATTGTGCAGACCTATTTACAAGGTTTACATTTTTATGCATATGCACACAACCAGATACATGAATTATATCCCAAATTACACACTATATACACTATGCATTTGTACTATGTACTCTACCCATTAGTGTGTGTCTTTTACATTGTTATTTTAAGCAGCAACAGTCGCTACATGAAGTGTCCAACATTCCACACTTTGTTTTTCCAGTTAATTAAGTGCATCATCCAGGTATTTGAAGTGCATTTTATGTTTCTCTCCAAAAGTTAGTGATTTAAAGAAAATGTCTAATTTAAACTAGTGTTGCGGGTAACTATTAACCCCCCTCCCTCCCTCCCTAAACTCAAATGGCAAAAGTCGACTTATTAACAGTTCTGGCTGATTTTGTTCATATTTCTGTCCTGTGTGCTGATCCCCCAGTGGATCAGTAAAGTTCTATCATATCCTCATTTAAATGACTCCTGAACATCATGATGTTTGTTTTTTGCAGATACCCACTAACAAATTACACATTCGGCACTAAGGAGCCGCTCTATGAGAAGGACAGCTCAGTAGCCGCACGCTTTCAGCGGATGCGGGAAGAATTTGAGAAAATCGGGATGCGGCGGGCTGTGGAAGGGGTTCTGATCGTTCATGAGCACAGACTCCCTCACGTGCTGCTGCTGCAGCTGGGAACCACCTTCTTCAAACTGTAAGCAGCCAGTGGTTCACTGGAGTTTGTGTGTTATGGATGTGATCGATTCAAATGGGTGCTTTTCAGTGGTTATCTGTACTGTATTGTTAAAAGTAACCTATCCTTGCGTATATATAGCTATGTTTCCATCAACCTGTTTTTATGCGCATTTTTGAAGTATCGCATCAGAAACGAGTGATGGAAATGGCAAATTTTGCAAAATGTGCAAAAAAGATTTTACGCTCGCTTGAGGTGGTTTTTGACTAGTGCAAAAAGGGTTAATGCGAATAAAAGGCGATGGAAATGCATTGCCGAGTAAATGATTCCATGCGCATCAAAAAAGTCATGTGACTGCGCAATTGGGCCAGCAAAACCTAACCATCTCGTTCCTCAGCATCTGAAATGTTATGGTCATTTTGAAATGGCTGCGCAAAGTCTGTCATCAACATATTTCTGTATAATTGCCTCCCAGAACTGTTACACGACTGCGTTCCCAAACAGCAGCATCCACATCCGAAAGCAATGACCGCATTTATTTTGTTTCGTCTGCTCGCTCTGAGGCACAAGTAATTTATTATATAGGCCTATGAAAATTATTATATTCAGAGGTTTCTCCTACTTTTCATAGTGATATATAGCCTAGCGCCAGTTCTACCAGGAAGTGACGATTTTGTTCTCTTTGACTCATTGGATGGAAACGGTGCTTATTCGCAAATGTTTTATGCGATATTTCGATTTTGTGCATAAGTTAAATTCGCAACTTTGGATGGAAACCCGGCTTATGATTCTTTATACATTTTTGTTCATTAATTTGCTATGACTTGTTTGCTTTTCTTTGCATTGTTTTGTTTGTTCATTATGCATTTGTTGATAAAGTGTCTACTAATATGTTTGTCAGTGGCTGACAGTTTATATTTTGTTTTTTACAGTCCCGGGGGTGAGTTGAACCCTGGAGAGGATGAGGTGGAGGGGTTGAAACGACTAATGACTGAGGTATTACTGCTTTTCTGACTGTATTTAAAGTGATAGTTGGTGGCATTTACAGAATTTTTTAGCTACAATCTGTTCAGTTCAGAGCTGAAAGAAAGTGTAAAATGTCAGTCAGCCAAGTCAAGCCAAAAACACTTATCGGAGTATTGTACCATCTGGTATAACATGAAATGCCATATTATGTAACAAAACTAGCAAAGATTTTAAATGCACTGAAGAATAATTTCTAAATTTGTTGTCAAGATTTTGGGGCGTCAGGATGGAGTGAAACAGGACTGGGTCATTGATGACTGTATTGGGAACTGGTGGAGACCAAACTTTGAACCACCGCAGGTAACTACACTGTTCCCTTTCCCTCAGACAGACATGCACTGGATCACTAACAGTATATATTGTTTTGTTCACTTTCAAGCGCATTAACTAAACAGAATGAAATATATAATTATTATAGTTTGATTCAATGAAAAATCACATTTAACATGTCTAATTTCCTTCCACAGTACCCTTATATTCCAGCACACATCACTAAGCCTAAAGAACATAAGAAGCTTTTTCTAGTACAGCTGCAAGAGAAAGGTAGGATGAAATACATTCTGTTAGGGCTGGGCGATATAGCTAAAAAATTTATCAACGATACAATGTTTCATATCGTTCGGTATCGATAATTATTCACTTTTTTATAACCTTTTTTTAAACAGAGCAATAGAAAAAAATGTTTACATTTAACCACTGTACTTTTAATTTGCCCAATTTATTAAGACAAACAAAAAAAAATTTTGTTTTAACAGTCAAACACAAAATAAAATTTAAACGAATATCTCCTTATGTTTTATATGCAAATTAAATAAGTCTTAAGGAAACTTTTGGCTTGTCTCCCAAGGCCACAGGAGGGCGCAATGAGCAAAATAATGCAGCGCATTAAATTGTCAATGCAAATAACTGTCTATAAAAACGTGCATAAGGTCTAAATTAATATTATATATATGTATCAAATATATTTTTGTAAACTGCATAAACAATTATCAACAAAACAGCATCGTGTATTTATGCTTTGCTTAATACAGAGCCAAATCACCGATCACACAGATTGCATTTAAAAACATTTGAGATGCAGTGAAATGAAATAAACCTTCACACATTCGCGTCGTGTTTTCTAAACTGTTTTAACTTTGCATGGCTTTCTTTGTATCTCTTGCATGAGACGCGAGTGCAGCAGTCATATTTGTCCTTCTAAAAAATGTGCTGAATATGCGTTCTGTGTGAATGGCTTGGTTTCGGTTTTAACCTAATCAAGATCTTCTACGCATTGAGCTACTATATTTCTCTAATATTTTGAACGAATAATGCAGCAACGGCGCGTCTCGTGGGCTAGACTAACAAAACATTAAAATGCAACAACGTCACTTACATCATCATCACCGCATCTCGTGCTCCACTGATGACGCTCCCTGACGCACTCCTAACATTCGATTGTACCATTTTTGCATTCAAATGCAAATGTTTATTTTAAATTCGACTAATATAAATTTTTATTCACAATCTCCTCATCACAGGCAGGCATTACAGCATGTGTTCGTGTAACACGTGCCTATATCGTGCGCTATATCGAACATTATTTCTATCGTTATCGAAGAAGGTGTACCGTCGATAAATATCGATACCATTTTATCACCCAGGCCTACATTCTGTTTACTCAATGCACCCTGAGTAAAAATTGATTTTACAGCTTGACTTGTGTGTTGTGTGTTTTTAGCGTTGTTTGCTGTGCCAAAGAACTACAAGCTGGTGGCCGCCCCCTTGTTTGAGCTTTATGATAATGCTCCTGGATATGGCCCAATTATATCCAGTCTTCCACAGCTACTGAGCAGGTGAGATATTACTTTTGAATCTTGTAGCTTGTAGTAAATGGGCTTCACATAATATATATATATATATATACTACTGTACTGTATGTGTACTTGTACATGAAAGTGTATATTTCTAACTTGTTTTTTATGACCATATATAAGTCGATTCAAGTATGTTAATATTTTATTGAGAAATAATGTAAACGAAACAAAACAAACATTATCAATTAACAATGTATTTTTGTTCCCCTCTCTCCACAACAAATTCTTTAAATTTAGTAGCATTCAAAACAGAAAAAGGAAAAATATAAGTATAAAACAACCAAAAATTATAGTAATTATAGAAATTATTCACTTGAAACAATATTTATTATAAACGCCAAGCCTAAACAAATTTATTTAAAGTGAAACTGAAACTAGCGGCGTGTGGGAAATGCAATAATCCAAATGTCAATTTATAATATAATTCGCAGCACATTTCAGATGATAAAAAATGCGATTTATAATCCTGAAAACAGCAGAAGAACCAAAACCCAAATACACATTGACTAAGCAAATAAATCTAGCTAATAAATTGTAGCATAAATAGGACAAACTATTTCCATGTTTTCCACACAAAATTACTTTTTATTAGCCTAGCTATGAAAAGTACGATTTTTTTCTCCCTCTGTCTCCTCCAAACACACAGACACACAGTACAGACACGGCTGCGAGCACACGTGCAACAAACGTACACAGAAACTTTGCGCTGACCCGTGACATTATCAGTAAAACAGTTTAGCAACTGAAAAGCTACATGACGTTTCTCAATAACGCCACTGTTTTTGAAGAAGGTTCACTTACAGATTCGCTATTGGTAGAGATGCTGCTGCCGAAAAATGTTGAGAGACGAACATGTAGTACTCTGGTAATTTACACATGCTTAATCTCTCTCTCTCTTTCATAACTGCATTAGTCTGCATACTAGCATTAAAATAAATGACGTTTTGTAATCAGCATCGGGATTCTGCGATAGAAAACGCTGTAACCATGAATTATGATTTATTTTTGTTTGCTGTTTTGGGGTGGTAATATTATATATTAATAGGCAAGGGGGCCCCGAATATTTATTTTGCTTATGTCCGGCCCTGATATTTGAGCGCATTCTAATTCTGACTGAATATACCGAATACTGTATGTAATCGTTATATACAGCACTGCAGGCTATAGCGCCATCTATTGGATTTTGCTGATACTGCATCAAAATAGTCATTTTGGACTAGCTGCCTCACGGGCCGGATGAAAGTGCCCAGCGGGCCGTATTTTTGCCCACCTCTGCTGTAGCATGTAGTAAATGGGCTTCACATAATATAATATTGGTAAATGCTGTCTAATTAAATTTAATGATTGCAAATCCTTATTTCAATTGTTGTTAATTTGTTCAATCTCTTCATTCTCTTGCACAGGTTTAACTTCATCTACAATTGAGAAGCGTGAGGTTTTGTCATGACCGTGGACTGTCTCTGTGAGCGCAGTCTGATGGGGTAACAGATGAAGATGTGGTGGTTAGGTGTTGGCAAGGTCCATTGAGGTTTACGAAATTTTGCATTTTCTGGCCTGTCTGCATTACATTGATTTAGATTGCATAGAAATGTGTGCATTTTTTTCTCATTTATAGATGCGTTGCAAGTCTTTGTTATTGAACTTTGTCATCAAGTAACTACAATTTTATGTTTGACTACGTGGTGAACACAATGTCTTTTGAAAAAAATGTTTCAGTGACTTTTTTTTTAAACCTTGTATATTTGTCAGTGCTTTTTATAATAAATTGTTTTCATGGAGATTTTGCAGGTAAAGCACAATGTTTTGACAGGTTCACCCAAAAATATGAAATTTACTCACACTCAGGTCATCCAATGTATAGATGAGTTTGTTTCTTTATTGGAACAAATTTGGAGAAATTTAGCACTACATCACTTGCTCACCAATGGATCCTCTGCAGGTATAATTTATTGTTGCTGTGTATGAAAGAAGGATTTGCATTTTTGTAATTGATATGCTATATGGCAAATTATGGTAATGTATATGTTCATGTTAGGCAAGGTTTCTTTGTCCAAAAACAGTCTTAATTTAGTTTTATAGACCATTTTCCACACTTACTCTGACACTAGGAACTAAACAGACTGTTTTGCTCTAAAATCTGTTTAAATGGGTGGACTGACATGAAACTTGTTGCAAAAATAAATTTAAGCCATTCTTTCCTGAAGTTAAGCGGAGCCACTTTTACTAGTCCACAGCCAGGATAAAGCACAATGTTTTGACAGGTTCACCCAAAAATATGAAATTTACTCACACTCAGGTCATCCAATGTATAGATGAGTTTGTTTCTTTATTGGAACAAATTTGGAGAAATTTAGCACTACATCACTTGCTCACCAATGGATCCTCTGCAGTGAATGGATGCCGTCATAGTGACAGTTTAAACAGCTGATAAAAACATCACAATAAATCAAAAGTAATCATGTCATTATTTGTTGTCATTTCTATAGGTCTTTATGTTATAAAACACTGGTCACACAATTGGATATAACTTAATACATCATTTTACATTATAATCCTAAACAGATCATTACTGGTATAATACTGGTAAAAAAAAAATGTATAGCCTGAATGCACTGTAAGTCGCTTTGGATAAAAGTTTCTGCTAAATGCATAAATTATTAAATTATTATTATCATTACTGAATGTAAATTTAAAATGAGTTTTCATTACATTTTCATATTTGTACACTAGTTACTGATCTTTTATCGTATGATATACTGTGTCATATTGCTAATTACTTATTAATGCAAGTGCTGCTAAAACCTGTACTTGTGACAATGATATGTGGTCTTTGTTTTTTGTTTCCAGCTATAGGTAAGCATGCCATATAACATATGTCGTTTTGTGGGAGGGGTCGTTTCAGTAACTCATATATTTTGTTTTTAATATAAGAGATTCAAAAATATTTTTGATCATGATGGGGCTCAACGTAGGCTTCAATTCCACATCTAACAGCACTGCCGTGGGTTCAGAGAAGATCGTTCCTGCTGTAGTTCTGGGTTTGTGCTGTTTGGTTGGTTTGCCAAGCAACATTGTGGTAATCATCAGTATTGCTCGTGAGTGGAACAGAAATCTGAGCTTCATCTTAAAACTAATGCTAAACCTTGCGGTCTCTGATGCTTTGACCCCTTGCTTGGCTCCTTTTGTGCTGTTTGGAATACTGTTTGGATGGAAACTCGGCCTTTGGTCTTGTAAGTTTCTGTTTTTTTTGGGTCACTGGAGTCTGTATGTTGGTGTCCTGACAGTCACCTCCATGAGCGTCCACCGCTATCACAATGTCATCAAGTCAAAAGTCACTAACAGAATGATACTGCACAGACTGGAAAGACGGCACAAGCGCCTTCAGCTGATTGGCATCTGGATTCTAGCCTTTGCTTTTTCCCTACCAGTATTTTTTACTCAAGGGCTCAAAGACAAGGATGGACTGCAAAGATGTCAGAGGGAAATGGAGTCACAGTCTGTAGAAGTGACTGTTTTGCTTTTTGAGATCCTGTTGGGGTTTGTCATTCCATTTTTGACAATGTTGACATGTTATCTATGGCTGCACATAGGGTTGAGACAAAAAGCCAAGAGCACCAGTCTAACTAGAGCTCCACAGGACCAGGAACCCAGAAACCAGGGGACAAACGTTTGGACTTACAAGAAGAGACTTGTGATCAGCATCATTGTGGCTTTCTTTCTGTTTTGGACTCCTGTGCACATTATCAATGTGATTGATATAGTCACTACTCTGACTAAAACATCTCATCCAGATGTTCATTCCCAACTAAAGTCCTTCCGCCGAGTATATGGTGATACAAGTAAGACTCTGGCTTTGCTAAACTGCTGTCTGAATCCTTTTCTCTATGCCATCTCTTCAGCTAATCTTATGAAATGTTTCAGAAAGAGATCATTCAAAATTTCTGATTGAATTATTTATTTTCAGTCAAATATATGCTTTAAAGTCTTCAAGCGCTATTATAAAAAATGGTTCAAAACTACAATTTTTTTGGCTTGTATAGTAGCAGAACCCTTTTTTATAAAGTTCTATAAAGAACTATGCTTTGAAAGTGTTATATACTGTAGGACCTTCATAGTGTTCTATAATTTTTTTTTATGCGTGTGTGTATAATGCATTTATATGTATTATTTATTAATATTGTTTTTACCTGTCTATCTGCCTTGTCTTATCTTGTAGCCTGTAGTAAAACACGAAATCGAAAGAGGACATAGTAATGAAGACCAAATTCCAGTAAAATATCTTAGTCCATTATTATGTATATATTTTGAGTGGCAGTTTCTCACTGCAGATGATGAAGTTGGTGGGATGTGATCATGGTCGGACTTGCCATTGGGCTTGACTGGGCTGCAGCCCAGGGGCCCCGCCTTGTAGGGGGCCCCGCCTTAACCCGTTTACATTTGTTCAGTTATGTGCATTGTTCAGTTAAAATTATTAGTCGCATTTCAACTGCGCACACGGGCCAGCCGGGGCTAACAACTTCCAGCTTCCAACTACGACATTCGAAGCCATAATCAAACAGCATAAACTGGAATTTATGATTTTTTTTCACATAGAAAAAGGACACACGCGTTAAATCACGTCTTTGCTGCGCCGAATCGCCGATTAATTTGTGATCACATGGTTCAGCTGTACCGCGTCTTCTCGCTCTCACTCTCAAAATTGCCTCACATCAGCGCATCTCATCTGCACTAAGATAGCTGCTGCACACTGCCAGACAACACTTTCGCTCAGCTGACAGGACTGTCACTTGCCTAATCGGGTCAGTGTTGCATCATCACAAAAGTTTATCATTTGCACGTCTTTTTAAACCATTCTGTACTTGCGCGCTCCAAACTACTTTTCTGGGCGCTCAAGGTCACATCCAAAGCGCGCGCACATGAAGCCGAGCAAACACCTCCAGAAAAAGTTATTGTTTTCATTGTTTCTGACTCAAGTAACCTTGCATTTTAATAAATAATGGCTAGCATAAAAATTACAGTAGCTGCTACTATTCAGGAACAAAATAATATGATTTACAAAGTCATAGATATAGATTATATTTATATATTAATCCATATTAAATATGAAAAAGTTATTTAGTCAAGAGCAGATTTGAGCAGAGTGATTTTTTCTTTTGTTCTTTAACACAGACTGACAGACAGCAGGTATACTAAAAGCTGCTGTCACTTTCATACCAAATGTTAATGTTAACAATGTTAATTAATTAGGCCTATTGGTTATTGTTAATTAATGTTAACAACAAAAGACAAAATCACTCACTGCTCTTGACTGAATAACTTTTGTAACTTTAATTTTAAATATTTTTTATTATACGATCTGCTCCCTTCACTAAAATGTCACGGTTCCTAAACATGATAACAAATAATATAGATAAATAATGAACACATGTCAAAACGAAAACACAGATACTTACAAGACCAAGTAGGAATGTCCTTTATCGTTTGTTGTTTGTCCGCTGCTCTCCGACAAGTAAACTTAGTGCTCGCTCGTGTAAAAATAATTCAAAACACAACACTGATCTCTACTAACTCGCACGTCTCGCGTTGCCAGTAGTCTTAGTCTCAGTAGGGCTACAATTGCCATCTAGCGGTTGGGAATTGTAATTGCATTTTTATTTATAAAATGAAAGACAGACGAATATCAATAATATCATATAATATGTATGAATGTACCCAGCAAGCAATAGTCGTCATTTCACCGTCAGGTTAACTATAGACCCGATATAGTCCAGCTATGTGTAACCCACTTCTAGCCCAAATAACCTTGAATTTGGTTTCATGTCGTTTTTTGGCAAAATAACTTGTGAGATGTATGATATTCCATCATGTAAGCAAAGTCAACAGCGTTTACAAGGTGTTTGGTTTAATTTCTTTGACATGTTCAGTACGTAGCCTGTGCATAGCCACGATTTAGCTCGTAGTCAGAGCAGCTATCTGTAGCCCACTTATAGTCAAACCTGACTCACTGTAGTTTTTGGTCAGACAGCGCATGAGATGGTTGATATCCCATCATGTTCACAGTGTCAATAATATCTACAAAGATATTTTGCTCTGTCTATGCAATAAATGCGCAACCTACGACTGCTCAGATGTCGTCGGTATGACCGAGAGCCGTTGAAAAACTACAGAAAAGCAAAACTACTTCACTTTAGCATTACTGGCCACGAGTACTAAGGAGAGATCACAAATCAGCTGCTCAAAAAATGTGTCAGTGAGACGAACGGAGCGCGAGCGCAACCCTGTGACACTCACAGGCGGTAAATAGTG